TTGGAGGAAGATCTGACAGGACATCACAATTCGTGAAATCTAAGGACAAAAAGAGAAAGGTATCAAAACTAGCCTTATTAACTCACAGGGCCAAGGGAAAAAAACTAGCTACATTATGAAATTCTCAAATAATATGTTTAAGAATGAAAAAAAGAAATCTTGCCGGGTGTGGTGGCTTACGCCTGTAATCCCAGCACTGTGGGAGGCTGAGGAGGCAGCATCGCTTGAGCTTAGGAGTTGAGATTCGCCTGAACAAGAGTGAGACCCCAACTCATGAAAAAACGGGAAAACCCAGCCGGGCACTGAGGCGAGCACCTGTAATCCCAGCAGTTTCCAGAGGCTGAGGCAGCCAGATGCCCAGAAGCTGGAGTCTGAGTTTGCAGTGAGCTATCAAGCCACTGCACTGCTCAGGGCATGGGGTGGGACCCTGTCTGACCACCACCACCAACAAAAACAAAAAAACCCCGGGGAAATCTTATGGCTGAGGGCCTATAGCTCACTGGCTAGGGCGCCAGCCACATACACTGTAGCTGGCAGGTTTGAACCTAGCCTGAGCCTGCCCAACAATGACAACTACAACCAAAAAATAGCTGGACGTTGTGGCGGGCACCTGTAGTCCCAGCTACTTGGGAGGCTGAGGCAAGAGAATTTGAGGGTGCTGTTAGCTGTGACACCATGGCACTCTACCAGTGGTGACATAATGAGACTTTGTCTGAAAAAAAAAAAAAAAAGGGAAATCCTAGGTAATTAGAGACCAGTCCTTTTGTTAATGGCAAGAATCACCATTTCATAAGTCCCTGATGAATACAGAGGATACTTAAAAGACTTCCCTGGCCCACCAATAAAAGAATAATTTTTAGGGGGTGGTGCCTGTGGCTCAAAGGAGTAGGGTGCCGGCCCCATATGCTGGAGGTGGTGGGTTCAAATCCAGCCCCAGCCAAAAATTGCAAAAAAAAAGAATAATTTTTAGATAAACATTTTCATGAGAATTTCTCAACAAAGACAATATTTCTATTGTCTTAATATTGGGTTTCTGATTACACAATTAATACTTTAACGGACCCAACTAAAACGTGCACTGAGTTTTCCCATAAAGATTGCTTTGATGCAAGTGTCCAGTTTAAGTGCAAAATTACTTGCAGAATTCCAGCATTAGATAGTGTAAAACGACAAAGAAGTACTCAGGAGACACAGAACATATTAAGTTCAGTAAAGAACTTTGAGGAGGTACATGCTTTAAACTGGGTCTCATCTAAAGGACCTCCCATTTAAAGTCTGACTTTTCTGGATGTCGAAAACTATTCCAAAAGTCCCACGAGCTTTCTTGGATTAGAAAAACAAATTTTCTTACGTAGTTCTAATTTCAGAACAAGGTACCACACACTACATTCAAGTTTAACTTTATTACAAAGAGGCACTTTCTAAGGTTAAAGTGGCTTTTTTTTTTTTTTTTGAGACAGAGGCTCACTTTGTTGCCTTCGGTAGAGTACAGTGGCGTCACAGCTCACAGCAACCTCCAGCTCTTGGGCTTAGGCGATTCTCTTGCCTCAACGTCCCGAATAGCTGGGACTACAGGCGCCCGCCACAACCCTGGCTATTTTTTTTTTGTTATTGCAGTTTGGCAAGGGCTAGGTTTGAACCACCACCCTCAGTATATGGGGCCGGCGCCCTAAAGTGGCTTTTTGATTCTGATTCTTCTTGTACTATAAAATACTTGCATCCAACGCCCTCTTTAGTTCCTTACAGAATTACTACTCTAGCCATCTTAACTAAAACAAGATGCCATTCAAGATGATCAACAAAGGGTGGTATTCGCCTTCTGCAGTAAGGAGGGAAAGCGTGCGGGAGACCAGAGGCCGGGACCTCGGGATTGAGAGGCAAGTCGGCCGAAAGGCTGCCATGGGTGACCACGCCGCCCAAGCAGCCACGCGACGTCTGAGCCGGCTGCAAGTACCGAAGCGCGAGATCCTGGTCGGGTTCCCCAGGGGCTCGGGCCAGAGTAAGAGATGAGGTGAAGGGGCCCGCACCATTCCACGCTTGGTCCACGCTTGCCAGAACGAACCGACGGGAAACGGAGGATGACCTAAAGAACCGGAACACGCAGAGAAAGGACCACACTCATGCGGCCCTCTCACATACTTACTTTTTCAGTTCGGGAGGGTGAGCTTTGCTCATGGTAATAACGCCACCAGATCAAAGATGAGCAGAAACGTAATTCGCAGCCTCCACCACGCTCCGGCGGGAAGCCAGACGTCTTGCGTCTGACGCCACATATTCCATTAACCAATAAGCTGTCGGTCCTTTTCATCTCGCGATACTGCGGGGGGGTGGTCTGAGCTCGTCTGTTACAGAGTTTGTGGCTGTCTTCAGGGATTGGCCAGGACTGAGTGGGTGGGCCTTCTGGGCACCATCAATTCCGTTTCCTTTGTGTAAAATTGAGATAACGGCCCCGCCCCTAGCGTCAGCTCAAACCCTGCCAGTCTCTGGGTGGTTTTCTTCATATACATATGCGAAATGTGAACGAGCTCTGGAGAAGCGGATACCTCATATTTCTTTGGCATGACGTGTTATAACCTGCAGCATTCTGTCAGGCCACGCCTAAGGTTCTAGTAACATGCCCATTAGCAGCCTCTTTGCACCAGAAAAGAGTGACTGGGCCTGTCTCCAAGTATTTTAGTCTGTGCCCGAGGGATGGTCCTTCAGTTGCTGGAACTACCTCCATAATCCCACTAATGTGCCATTGCCCCTGTATAAAAAACATGAGGTGCAGCACACTAAGGTTCTCTAACACACGCATAAGGTTTTAATTTTTCACATCATAAGTGTACGTGTAAAAAGCAGTCTCTGACTTAATCCAGGAATTACAGGAACTAGACCAAAATAGAAGTCCTTGTTGATTTTATGTAGGGGATGGTTTTTCAAAATTCAGTTCATTTCTATTGTTCAGGAATGGCTCCACTTAAATACCAATGATAATAAAGACCAACCATCATACAGTTTGTAGTTTTGGTAGTGAAGATCTAGACACTGAATTTTATTTAGGGCGGACATAGCAGAGTACCTTTCTCAACACTTGCTGTGTTTAGTTGAAACTAGAGATCTTATTTGGATACTGAATTGCTTTTGTCAGCCTCATGGACAGTTTCTTTTCTACATCAATGAAATTTAAGGCATAATGCCCAACCCTTCCCTCATTAAAGTTTTAAATCTTTTATTCTTTTTTATTTTTTTGAGACAGAGCCTCAAGTTGTTGCCCTGGGAGAGTGCCATGGCGTCACAGCTCACAGCAACCTCAAACTCTTGGGCTTAAGCGATTTTCTTGCCTCAACCTCCCAAGCAGCTGGGACTACAGGCGTCCGCCACATGCCTGGCTATTTTTTGGTTGTAGTTGTCATTGTTGTTTGGCAGGCCTGGGCTGGATCCGAACCTGCTAGCTCTGGTATATGTGGCTGGTGCCTTAGCCACTTGAGCCACAGGCGCTGAGCCTATAGTTTTTATTAATATCAATTAATAAAACTAGTTCTGACACTAGTTTAGTCATCTTAAATTTCTTATTTCACAAATTGAAAGAAGCATACTGAGAAAGTTATATATTTGCTGCCCAGATAAAAGGAAAAAAAAATCCACAAAACAGTGAGGGGAAAGATAAACGTTATTTATTTTTTAAAACCGTTATTACTAGGAAAATATATCACAGCCTGGAAAAAGAAAAGAGACAGGCTATATTTTCATTTCAAGTATAGGTTGATAGACAAATGAGGTCTTTTTTTTTTAAGAGACAGAATCTCACTTTGTCATCCTCTATAGAGTGCCATGGCGTCACAGCTCACAGCAACATCCAACTCTTGGACTTAGGTGATTCTCTTGGCTCAGCCTCTGGAGTAGCTGGGTCCCTTCACAACGCCTGGCTATTTTTTGTTGCAGTTGGGCTAGGGCCGGGTTTGAACCCACCACCCTCAGTATATGGGGCCAGGGTCCTACTCACTGAGCCACAGGTGCTGCCTGACAAATGAGGTCTTTATCAAAACTACAGGTGCGAGGGCAAGAACACTGCTTGTTGAGAAGACCCCAGGCAAAAATGGCATTTGGTAATGGGGCACTGCCCCTCCTTTCCTTTAAGGAAGTCACAGTTCCTAGCCCAATTTGCTTACTTTCCCCTTGAATTTCCTGTTAGCAGGGGATTGTCTCAACAGGGTCCTGGTAATACAGGGGCCTAAGTAAGCAAAGCTGGGTTTAAGCTTTCATTGCATTCTATGAAAACCATGTTCTTCCAAATCCAGCATTTCACAACTCTCTTCTATTCAGGCAGCCAACAGTTCCTTTTTTAACTGTTGGCTTCTCCAAACTGGTATTTACAATCAAAACCCTGTTTCTTTTCAAGGAGAAAGTGTTACTGCAACATAGTCATGTTACTCTGCAGCAGACAGCATCAGGGCCTACCAGCTAATAAGCAGGAAATTCTGCTTCCCAAAATCACTGTGATGTTGCCTCTCATGTTTTTGCATGATATCTGCCTGAAAGATGCAATGGGTAACAATTTTAAGAACTGCACATCTATGCCTTTATGGCCAGAAAAGGATATCTCAAGAAAACTTTTCAAAGTTCCTATCCAAACTATTTTCCCTCCCAGCTGCACATCTCAAATCAATTTTGTGCCCTTGTATAAATACAATAAAAGCAAGCAAAATAAAAACCCAGAACCTTTTTTGCCCCTTCTAAATTAGTGACCTCAAGAATTTTGTTGTACAGATTGTGCAAAATGGTGTGGTGACACTTCTGGTAAACAGGAGTTTAGCAACGAACAGAAATGCTTCCACTAGACTTTACCAGATTGCAGGCAGGTAACTGGCAGCTTGCTGGTATCTATGCAGTGACAATTTGGTACCTTGGAGGGCATTGGCATGGTATGGAGGAGATTCTTACTGCTAGGACAAGCACTTGTCACGTACAATATAGGGTCTCAAACACTCTCCTGTACTATCTCTGACAAAAATTTTAGCACCAATTTTTTCCATTTCACTTTTCAGGTTTGAAACAAAGGAACCAATGTCCAGAGGCAAGTGACATATGCCTTAAACCCATTGCCATCCTTAATTTCTTCATTCATAGATTTTGCTTAAAAGACTAAAATTCCCTTTCCTTTTTAAAACAGACTCTTGTCCTCAGCCCCAATGGCCTCTCGCAAAGACTTTTATTTCCCAATGGATATGAGAGACTCCTTCATCTTCTTGGTCATAGTTGGGATGAGGTGCATGTGGTCATCAACACACTTAGTCACACAACTGTCCAGCTGCTGCTTCACGTGGAGCTCCTTACTCCCTGCATCTATTGAATCTTTGGCTTTGTCGTTGCAATGCATGGTGCACCGGGCCAGGCGGTCCTGTGGCAAGAAAAGGACAGAGAAGGCTGAGTTTGACCCCCATTTACCAAGTGCTCTTCTGCTGGGCCCTGTGCTATAGGTTTCACATACATTACCTTCATCCATTAAAGGGATATTCTAGTGCAAATGACCAAGAATGTCTGTATTGAAACAGGAGGAGGGTCCAGAAAAAACACTATTATTAGAAAGCAGGTCAGTGACAGATGAATAATACAAAAGGTTCTTCCAATAAGAGGTCACTGGTTACTCTTAGAGTTACAAACATATTGGTTCCTTAATTTCCGTTCTTGTTACAGAAAAATCTCAATCAGCAAGTATTTATTAAGCATCTGTCATGTCCCAGGCACTCCTTTCATGCTGGGGAATATATTAGCAATAATAAATAGTAATTAGTAATTTAGTAAATCCAATAAAGTTCTTACTATAACTTACATTACAGCGAGAGAAGAGAAACAAAATAAGCAGAGATGTTGGGGAAATGGTTGTATATACTAATCTGAAGTTCAGGAGTTATGTCTGAACTAAAGAGATACAAATGCAGGAGTTGTCAGCATATAAATAATATTTATAGCTGTGAGACTAGAGAACACTAGACAAGTAGTTATAAAGGACCAAGGATAGTCCTGGGCTCTCCAGTACTTAGAGAGTAGAGAAGGGAAGAGCAAGCAATAGAGGCTGGGAAAGGAGGGAGGTGGAAATCAATGAAAGTGAGGTGTCCCGCTGACCAAATGAATAAAGTGCTTTAAGTAGAAGAGTGATCCACTGTGTCAGTGCTGCACATAGGTCAAGTAAGATGAGAACAGAAATGACCACAGGATTTAGGCCCATGGAGGTTATCAAGAGCTGTTCTGGCACAGTGGAGGAGTGAAAGTCTGCTTTGATAAGACTAAAAGAATGAAAGGAGAAAGTTACATAGAAATCCAAGAATCAACACCCCATCTATAAAATTAGCTATAGCTATCAGAATGAACCCACAGAAACTGTTTGGAGTTCTAAGATCTTTAAGTTATTCCTTTACAGTGGCAGTAATCATGAAAAGTTTTGTGTAAGAGACTGTAAAATTGTATCACAAAAGAGGACTAGAGGAGGTCAGAGAGAGAGAGAGAGAGAGAGAAATCTCCTGAGGCCTGCTCTGGAAATCTAAAGCACCCCAACTATACAAGGGCTGTGGGAGTTATGAAACACAATAGAAACCATGGATGAAAACCAATATATGGCTTGGCGCCTGTGGCTCAAGTGGCTAAGG